GGTTCAAAGTTCAAGATGGCAGGGTGCTAGACTTTACCATCAAATTATACTCTGCTCAATTAACCCCATGCCGTCAACAAATGAGATGCCATAACAAGTTCAATACCACAAGCCTATACATACATGTATTTGGAAGTGAACAACCACTTTAAAGGACCACTATAGTGCCAGGAAAACATACTTGTTTTCCTGGCACTATAGTGCCCTAAGGGTGCCCCCACCCTCAGGGACCCCCTCGGCTGGATGGCGAGGAAAGGGGTTAAACTTACCTTTATTCCAGCGCCAGGCGGGGAGCTCTCCTCCTCCTCTCCGCCTCCGATCCTCCTCTTCGGCTGAATACGCATGCGCGGATTTTCATAGTGAGAATGTTACAAAGTCATGTTGCAAACGCCTCTAGCGGCTGTCAATGAGACAGCCACTAGAGGATTTGGAGGCTGGATTAACCTGAAACTGCTATGTTTATTAAAAAAAAAGGGTTAATCCTAGAGGGACCTGGCACCCAGACCACATCATTAAGCTGAAGTGGTCTGGGTGCCTAGAGTGGTCCTTTAAAGAGACCGGACTCAACCCATTGATTCAGTTACCAATTGACAGCAATAAAAGTGTGCAGGTCTGCCTTTCAAGTTGTACATGAGCTGATGGCACAGTGCAAAGTCAATGGATGATATCAGAAATCATGTTAGATTGGATTAAGCATGTCTGTTTTTTTTCCTCAAAATTTTGACCTAATCAGTTGCTCAGTTTCTCGGCAGCATTTCCAGCCATTTATAAACACAGGTGGAGGACACTATTACAATGCAAAGAGATTTTTTTATTATTATTTTTTGAATTATTTATTATTACAGTTATTTTCTAAAAGTCTGCACCCCCGAAAAAACAAAATTAACATATCAGAATGGATTTGATTTAAATCAAGTTGATTTAAATCACAATTTAAATCAATAGTCAGTATATGATATTTTTATTTTTATGATTTTTCTTACTGGTTGTTTTAACATAAATATTATATATCGGGTATATTAGAGCTGATTTTGTTATATACTAAAAGAAATACATAGATAACAATAAAAATGTTAAAGGGACACTATAGTCACCTGAAAAACTTTAGCTTAATGAAGCAGTTTTGGTGTATAGAACATGCCCCTGCAGCCTCACTGCTCAATCCTCTGCCATTTAGGAGTTAAATCCCTTTGTTTATAAACCCTAGTCACACCTCCCTGCATGTGACTTGCACAGCCTTCCATAAACACTTCCTGTAAAGAGAGCCCTATTTAGGCTTTCTTTATTGCAAGTTCTGTTTAATTAAGATTTTCTTATCCCTGCTATGTTAATAGCTTGCTAGACCCTGCAAGAGCCTCCTGTATGTGATTAAAGTTCAATTTAGAGATTGAGATACTATTATTTAAGGTAAATTACATCTGTTTGAAAGTGAAACCAGTTTTATTTTTTCATGCAGGCTCGGTCAATCATAGCCAGGGGAGGTGTGGCTAGGGCTGCAGAAGCAAAGTGATTTAACTCCTAAATGACAGTGAATTGAGCAGTGAAATTGCAGGGGAATGATCTATACACTAAAACTGCTTTATTTAGCTAAAGTAATTTAGGCGACTATAGTGTTCCTTTAAGATCAGCAATCTTCAGTTTAATAGCTTAAACACAACAATTTAAATTAAAGATGCTCATTATGTGTTCATTCACTTGTAGACAATGGGATTAGGGTCTTTTTCTGAAACATATTTATTTTATAAAAAGTTTACTGTGAACAAAAAGCATGTTTTCTTTGCAGACAAGTTCAGTTAACGTGGATTAATAGAATTAATTTAACAAAAATGTAAATACTGCTTTTATTATACAGCCTCTTGCTACATAACTCTATTTCATGCTGAATAACCTTTGGACCAGGGCCGGACTACGACGAAAATTCAGCCCGGGCAGTTAAAGGCAGAGCAGCCCACAGTGAGGGGTGGGGCCAAAACGGTTGCATGTTAATTCTGTGTGTATGCGTATATAGAGTAGTGTGTGTATGGAGTGTGTGTGTGCACTGTGTGCACTCTCCCCTGAGCGCTCTCTGCCCAGCTCCCTCGCGGACCGCTCTGATGCCGGGGCCCGGAAGATGACGTCATGACGAGAGTGCTCCCTCGTGCATGCGCAGGACCGCCCAGCAGCCCCACTGGACCCCAGGGACAGCAGGAATCCCCTCAGCACTCCCAAAGGTAGGGAGGCTTGGGGATTAAATTTAAAAAAAAAAATGTGAGTGTGTATGTGTGTTAGTGTGTGTGTTACTGTGTGTGTGTCTGTTAATGAGTGTGTTAGTTTGTGTGTGTCAGTGAGTGTTACTGTGTGTGTTAGTTTGTGTGTGTCTGCTAGTGAGTGTCAGTAAATGTGTTAGTGAGTGTTACTGTGTGTGTGTCTCTGAGTGTGTTTGTGTGACTGTTATTGAGTGTGTCTGCTAGTGAGTGTCAGTGTGTGTGTGTGTTAGTTTGTGTTTCAGTGTGTGTGGGTTACTGTGTGTGTCTGTTACTGACTGTGTTAGTTTGTGTGTGTCTGTTAGTGAGTGTGTCTTTGTCAGTGAGAGTGTATGTTTTGTAAGAGAGTGTGTGTCTGTCAGTAAATGTGTGTGTCTGTTAGCTAGTGTGTATGCATCTGTTCGTGAGAATGTGTGTGTGTGTAGTTAAAACCCCTTCAGCACTTAAACAACTGGCACTGCTAAAGGATGTGGTCAGACGATAATAGGTGCGAAAGGATAATAATTCGATAGAGCTAGAGAAAAAGACATATGAGGCCCGTGCATAATCGCAGGGAAATGGATGGGGCATGTTCTATTGACAAAAGAAATGTTTGGCGGTCTTAGCCTTATTATGTTTCTAATATTTTTCGTGTAAAACAAAAATCTACCAGGGAGGACAGAGATACAGTGCTGTAGTGTATGATAGATACACTTCATGTTACTATGTTGCAGTAAGGGGGTGCAAAGATTGTTAGCTTACTGTTATTGCAAATATGATACAATACTGTTTTTCACTGTGTAACAATATATTACAATGTTTTGATGCATCAGTGTACTGTTCTGCCTTGGAATAAATAAAGAATTAAAAAAAAACAAAAAAACCCATTCAGCACTTACCTTTTTCCAGCGCCGGGTTCCCTTGGCGCTGGGGATCTCTCTGCCCCAATCCTCCTCTCAGATCTGATTGCGCATGCACGGCAAGAGCTGCGTGCGCATTCAAACCGCCCATAGGAAAGCATTACTCAATGCTTTCCTATGGACGTCCAGCAGAATCGCGGAAGTGCCTCTAGCGGTTGTCAGTGAGACAGCTACTAGAGGCTGGATTAACCCTTAGTGAAACATAGCAGTTTCTCTGAAACTGCTGTGTTTTCAGCTGCAGGGTTAAAACTAGAGGGACCTGGCACCCAGACCACTTCATTGAGCTGAAGTGATCTGAGTGCCCATAGTGGTCCTTTAAGTGTATGTGTATGCACTGGCGGCACACCGCAGTTGCAGGGGTCGCAGCCCTGCGACCAGGTGCCCGCCACCATGTGTAGCGCCACCGGCCCGCGCAGAGTAAGCGCTGGGGGGAGGGCCTGCAGATCAATTTTTGCACTGAGGCCCCATGCATGATGTATAAGCTAATGTGTGTGTGTGTGTGTGTGAATACATGCATTTGGGTGTGGTGTGTATAAAGGATATAGAGTGTGTACTGTGTGAGTGCACGGCTTGTAGTGTGTGTTTATAGGGGGTAGAGAGTGTGTGAGTGCAGAGAATGTAGTGTATGTTTAGGGAGGTTAGAGTTTGTGTACTGTGTGTATGTGAGTAAAGGGTGTATGGTGTGTATAATGGTTAAAGAGTGTGTGTAATGTGTTTGTGTGTAAGTGCAGGGGGTGTAGTGTGTGTATTTAAAGGGGTATCGAGTGTGCGTAGTGTGTGTGTGAGTGCATTGGGGTGTGGTGTGTATGATGGCAGGGGGTGTAGTGGGTTAAGAGGGGGTATGATGGCAGGGGGTGTAGTGGGTTAATAGGGGATAATAGGTGCGAAAGGATAATAATTCGATAGAGCTATTGTAGTGGGTTAATAGGGGGTATGATGGCAGAGGGTGTAGTGGATTAGTAGGGGGTATGATGGCAGGTGGTGTAGTTGGTTCATAGGGGATAGAATGGCAGGGGGTGTAGTGGGTTAATAGGGGATAAGGCTGCGTAATTAATTTAATAATTAAAATATATATATATATCACCCCCCCTCCCTCCTTTTACCTTGGTGGTCCAGCCGGCTAGTTATTTTGGTCTGTACCTCCACAGGGTACAACCTCTGCAGGGTACAGACCATGCTTCTCCCTCTTGCGAGCGCTGGTATTCCATGGCAACACTCTAATAATATCTGAGCTCGCGAGAGACAGGTAGGCTGCTCGGCACAGATTCACAAATCTTTCCTCCAGCCCGTGAAGGGACTGTGGTCCCTCTTAGGGCTGTGCTGCCCTGTATGGGCCGGCAGGGGAGATCCTGTTATCTCCCCTGCCAGCCTCGGCCCATGGCCATCGCTGCACACCGGGCATTTGCCCAGTTTGCCCGATGGCCAGTCCGGCCTGCTTTGGACTATAAAGTATTAAATAGTAAACTATAGTTAGATAGCTGCATCCTTCAAATACATTTTATTAAAAGAAATCCAATTTAAATTGAAAAAGAAATGATTTAAATTGGGAAAAATAATATGATTGAATGTTGGGGAGAGGAAGGGGTTAAACTTACCTCTTTCTCAAGCGCCGGGCGGGGAGCTCTCCTCCTCCTCTTCGGCTGAATGCCCATGTGCGGCAGGAGCTGCGCGGGCATTCAGCCAGTCTCATAGGAAAGCATTTATAATGCTTTCCTATGGACGCTTGCGTCTTCTCACTGTGATTTTCACAGTGAGAAGCACGCAAGTGCCTCTAGCGGCTGTCAAGAGATAGCCACTAGAGGCTGGATTAACCTATTTATAAACATAGCAGTTTCTCTGAAACTGCTATGTTTATAAAAAAAAAGGGTTAACCCTAGCTGGACCAGGCACCCAGACCAATTCATTAAGCTGAAGTGGTCTGGGTGCCTATAGTGGTCCTTTAACTATTTATAATTGTATTCTACTTTTATTGAGTGGATGGCATTATACATTTTCAGTGGAGGTACTAATATTGAGACAGGCGTGGTGCAAGAAATTTATTTGTCTCCCCCCCAGTACAAGGGTAGCCAAAAGATAGATCCTCAAGTGTCCTACTACACTTACAATGCTTTGACAGCTGGTGACCTACTATTTGCCCATTCTTTCAAGGTTGTATTATTTGTGAGCAGTGTCTGTGTGTTTGAATTTTAGCATGTTTTTGTATGGAGTATATATACATGTGAATGAAAGTGTGTATTTTTGTGTAATGTTGACATTTGGATGCAATTGTGTGTTTGTATGTACTAATGCCATATGGATGCACTGGTGTATTTGTATTGTATTGTATTGGTGTTTAAATGCAGTTGTGTGTAGTGTGTGCCTTTGAATGCAGAGGTTTGTTTTTAGTAATGGCATTTGAATGCAGGAGTGTGATGGTGTGCAGTGTTGATATTTGAATGCAGGAGCGTATTTCTGTGCAGTTTTGGTGTTTGAATGCAGGGGTATAATGTTAGTGTTTGAATGCAGGGACAGATTATTGTGCAGTGTTGGTGTTAGAGTGCAGGGGTGTGTTTGTGTGCAGTGTTGGTGTTTGAATGCAGGGGTGTGTTTGTGTGCATTGTTGGTGTTTGAATGCAGGGTTGTGTTTGTGTGCATTGTTGGTGTTTGAATGCAGGGTTGTGTTTGTGTGCAGTGTTGATGTTTGAGGGAATGGGCATATATTGCGCAGTGTTGGTTCTTAAATGCAAGGGTATATCTGTGTACAATTTTGGTGTTTGAATGCATGGGTATATATGTATGCAGTATATATTGGTGTTTGAACGTAGGTGTGTATTTCTGTGTAGTTTTAAATACTTCAATCTTTGCACTGCCATACACTTAAATACACACATAAAAACAATGGTTGATCAACCGCTCCAATATCTTTATACCAATATCTTTTTGGCAGCCAAAATCAGCTTAGCTATTGGAAGAAACAGGAAGTTCCTACATGGCTAGAGATTTTATCTCAAATCTCATACCAGACTGCTTCAGAAAGATATTTTTATAACAATACTCCCTAATTAAAAGATAGATATAATAAGATTTGGTCGACATGGTTTGTTCTTCCTACCAATTTATGCCCTGTGGTTACCCTGCATTTGAATTAATTTGAACTAGTTTCCAAGCCGCCCTGACCTGCTCGGTATACTAACATACTATTCAAGCCAATTAAGATAAGGACTCGGATCCAGATAGTGCAATCCCTTTTCAATTTATATTTTTTTTTATTGTATATGATGTTTGTTTTCTTTTTCTTTATATATTTTTTTTTGTGTGAGTATTTAAGTGATGTATGGTATAACAAAACCTTTGAGAATATTTTCATTAACAACTAAAATTTGACTATTATAAACCATACCTACTAATGATGTTCCTATTTGGAAAATTTAAATTTCTATATAAAGATTTATAAATTTGAAAAAAACTGAATAATGACATGGAAATCCATTTTGTGTCCATTTTATTAATAGTATATGTGATTTGTGATATTCCCTGCAAAGTTTAGCATACTGGAGCAAGTTAACTGCTATAAAATATATGAGTTGAAACCAGAGCTGGATTACCCATTAGGAAGCCAAGGTGGCCACCTAGGGCCTGGGCTCCGAAAGGGGCCTGGTTGGCCCTGTCTGAGCCTGGAGCTGCTGCTCTGATCAGACCCACTCCACCTCAAGTCAGCAGGTAGGTCTGTGGTGCAGGTGCAGACCCTCCAGGTTTTCAAGTCTGCGCTCTGACTTCCTCACTGAGCGCCGGACCAGAAGACCTGCATCTGTACCAGCGGACCACAAGGAATCCACCGGACCAGCAGGGATCCCACTTGGCCACAAGGGAATCAACCAGGCCACAAGAGAATGCATTTGTGTCCTAAGTTCCTGCCCAGGAGGTAAGCAAGAGGGGCACATGTTATATTTAAAAATAAGGCATTAGACTGTGGAGAAACTATATTTAACACAATCACTCTCCCCTCAACTTTGTCACACTCACCATTGCTCACTATCACACAAATGCATCCCCTCTCACCCTGTCACACTAACTCTGCCATACTCACCACCCCTCACCCTGCCACACACACTCTCCAAACACTGTGACATTCACCCCCCAAACACTGTCACACTCACTTCCCTCATCCTACCACACTGACACACATTACCCTGTCAGACTAACCCCCCAAATTCTCACAGTCACCATAACATTGTCACACATATCCCCTCCTCCTGTCACACTTACCCTTTATTTCCTGTAACAGTCACTCCCTCACCATGTCATACTTACCCCTCTCACTCTGCCACAGTCACCACCTACTCACCCTATCACAGTGAAGATAGTCACTGTCATACACATTCACCTATCACACATGAAACACAGCCTGACTGTAAACACAACACACAAAAATAGCCCTGCTTACACACATTTCAAGCAACTTCCCCTCAGACATATGCGGCCAAACACAGACATACACGTGCTCAAAGACACAGAGACACATATTCACAAACAATGATGCTCTGGGTCATGCACAGGTACACAGTGCCAGAGGCACAGACACATTCAGTCAGAAATGCACATACACACCCTCAGGCACATACACAGGTACATAATGCTAGACACAAAGACACACTCCTCCACACACAACAGCCACCACACTCACAGCTCACAGAAACAGAGCATGAGGCTCTAGGAGGAGCTCCCAAACTGGGACCATACCTATGGCCCTGGGCAACCTTAATCTTACTCTGATTGGATCATTATGTATAATGACTGCTATGGACGACAATGGCAGAATGTGACAAAAATAAATAAAAGGAAAATAATACTGTAGTTACTTCACCTAATACTTTAAATATACCCATGGATTCAAAATTTTATCTTGCAGGGTTACTCAAAGCATCATAACTACTAGAGTCGCTTTAGTATGTATGATACCAGGAGTACCCTGGCCCAGTTTCCCAATAACGGGGCAAACCAACCCGTTTCAAGCCTCCTTGCTTCTTAGCTGACACACTTCCAGCTTTTGCAAAATTGCGGAAATCAGTCCAGTCCCCATAGATTGGCTGAGAGCATCAGCTGACTGCTCCCAGCCAATGAATGGCACAATATGAAAAAACATTTGCACAGAGTTACACATTTGACAGCAAAGAGGCATTTCAAAGTTAAAGGCTGTACATATAGACTCCAGGTACCATGACCACGTAAATTTTTTTTATTTGTCATAGTGTTTGGAGTAATTCTTTAATGCAGTCTTACATACCACAGCTGAATTACACTTTTTTAAAAAAAAACTACTTTTAAATCCGTGTATTCAGGGTATGGCAGTCTCCTGGTGTAGATATAAATGCAGATCAGAATGTGAGCGGCTATTAATTCCAATTTGTTCCATGATTCTTGAAGTATTTTCTGCAAGATATTTCCATTTAGATTGTACATTGGACACTCAGTGTACCCATTCAGAACTCTCCTGTGTTATTAGCAGTGAATTGTGGATGAATTCTGGGCTGCTAGTGTGACTATTGTTGTGTATCATGGAAATTCCATCTCGTTTTTACTAGTACAAGATATAGATACAGGTTATGATACCAGTACTGGATATTATTTCCGTCTATTACACACTTTCTATATCTAGATTAATGTAATTTCATAATGTATGATCTGTGTAGTGATATTAAATGGTACAATGGTACAATAATATTAATGAAGAATCAGACAATCACTGATACATTTATTTTTTTATTATCAATATACTGCAATATACAGGCAGACATTTTAACATTGCTGCAATTTTCATGATTAATAATATCTGATTGGTCCAGAGGAAGGCAAACAAAACCCCCTGTGGATGATGTCTCACAGGGGGAAAAAATTCCTTCCTGACCCCATTTATGGCGATCGGTTTAATACCCTGGAACAGTCACCTAATGTGTTATAACTGTATATTGCTGAATATAATACTCTAATATACTAGTAAAAAGAATGCAAATCAATGAAGGCTGTCACTGCTCAAAAAGCTAAAACTCTAATATGAATGTTGCAATACAGAAAAGGAGGTCCCTACTCAGAGAGCTTACACTCTAATATTATTGGAAAATACAGAGACGGAGGTATCTGCTCAGAGAGCTTACACTCTAGTATAAATACTATAATACAGAGAGTAGGTTTTTGCTCACAGAGCTTACAGTCTAATATGAATGGTGCAACACAGAGAGGGAAGTTGCTGCTCACTGAGCTTACACTCAAATATTATTGTAAAATAGAGAGACAGAGGTCCCTGGTCACAGAGCTTACATTCTAATATTAATGGAAAATACAGAAACAGAGGTCCCTGCTCAGAGAGCTTACACTCTAATATGAATGGTGAAATACAGAGAAGGAGGTCCCTGCTCACAGAGATTACACTCTAATATGAATGGTACAATACAGAAAAAGAGGTCTCTGCTCACAGAGCTTACACTCTAATGTAAATGGTACAATAATAATAATAAGAAGATCAGAGCTCATAGAGTTAAATTCTTCCACGTGCCCCTACTCGTGGCATTCGGCAGGTAGGGGAATGTCGCCTAAACAGCGAGCAGCCAGTGGCTGGGGGGGAAGGAATTAATATTTATATGGTAGAACTGCCGGCTCCCTCCATGCTTTTTTTCCTTGCATGCACACTGCTATTTTCTCCGTTCTGTGGGGTTAATTCCCCTGCAGCACGGAGTCGATTAAACAAAAGAAACTAAGCAAAAAGGTAATCCATTCAGCATTTGCCCTTTCGTTTAATTTATATTTCGTATGTAGGGCTTTCGTTTACGTTTTAGTAAACGAATACAAAAAAAACTGAATTTTCAGACGAAATCGTAATTGTCCGAAAATGAATGCACATGTCTACAGTCTAATATGAATTCTGCAACTCAGATAAGGAGGTCCTGTTCACAGAGTTTACACTCTAATATAATTGGAAAATACAGACGGAGGTCCCTGGTCACAGAGCTTACAGTATAATATGGACATCACAATACAGAGAAGGAGGTCCTTGCTCACAGAGTTCACAGTCAAATATGAATTGTACAGTTTAATATAAACAGTACAATACTAATATGAATACTACAATACAGAGAAAGAGGTCTCTGGTCACAGAGCTTACACTGTAATATGAATGATACAATACAAAGAAAGGTCCCTGCTCACAGAGCTTAAACTCTAATATGAATGTTACAATACTGAGAGGGAGGTCCCTGCTCACAGAGCTTACACTTAAATATTATTGAAAAATACAGAAACGGAGGTCCCTCGTCACAGAGCTTACAGTCTAATATGAATGGTACAATACAGAGAAGAAGGTCCCTGCTCACAGAGCTTACACACAAATATTGTTGAAAATTAAAGACACGGAGGTCCCTGGTCACAGAGTTTACATTCTAATATGAATGGTACAATATAGCACTTACACTATAATATGAATGGTACAATACAGAGAAGGTGGTCCCTGCTAACAGAGCTTGCAGTCTAATATTAAGGGAAAATATCATTGAAAATACAGAAGTCCCTGGTCACAGAACTTACAGTCTAATATGAATAGCATAATACAGAGAATGAGGTCCCTGCTCACAGAGCTTACATTCTAATATTTTTGGAAAATACTGAGAGCAGAAGGAGATGCCTGCTCACAGAGCTTACACTCTAATATAAATGTTACAATACAGACACGGAGGTCCTTGCTCACAGAGCTTACAGTCTAATATGAACAGCACAACACAGAGAAGGAGGTCATTGCTCACAGAGCTTACACTCTAATATGAATGGTACAATACATAGAAGGAAATCACTGATCACAGAGCCTACAGTCTAATATGAACACTGCAATGCAGAGAAGGAAGTCCTTGCTCACAGAGCTTACACTCTAATATGAATGATACAATACAGAGAAAGAGGCCCTGCTTAAAGATCTTGCACTGTAACATAAACAGTACAATACAGAGAAAGAGGTCTCTGGTCACAGAGCTTACACTCTAATATGAATGGTACAATGCAAATAAGGTGGTCCCTTTTCACAGAGCTTACACTCTAATATTATTGGAAAACATCATTGGAAATGCATAAGCCTCTGGTCACAGAACGTACAGTCCAATATGAATAGCATAATACAGAGAATGAGGTCCCTGCTCACCGAGCTTACATTCTAATATTTTTGGAAAATACTGAGAGCAGAAGGAGATTCCTGCTCACAGAGCTTACACTCTAATATAAATGTTACAATACAGACACGGAGGTCCTTGCTCACAGAGCTTACAGTCTAATATGAACAGCACAACACAGAGAAGGAGGTCATTGCTCACAGAGCTTACACTCTAATATGAATGGTACAATACATAGAAGGAAATCACTGCTCACAGAGCCTACAGTCTAATATGAACAGTGCAATGCAGAAAGGAAGTCCTTGCTCACAGAGCTTACACTCAAATATGAATGATACAATACAGAGAAAGAGGCCCTGCTTAAAGATCTTGCACTGTAACATAAACAGTACAATACAGAGAAAGAGGTCTCTGGTCACAGAGCTTACACTCTAATATGAATGGTACAATGCAAATAAGGTGGTCCCTTTTCACAGAGCTTACACTCTAATATTATTGGAAAACATCATTGGAAATGCAGAAGCCTCTGGTCACAGAACGTACAGTCTAATATGAATAGCATAATACAGAGAATGAGGTCCCTGCTCACCGAGCTTACATTCTAATATTTTTGGAAAATACTGAGAGCAGAAGGAGATTCCTGCTCACAGAGCTTACACTCTAATATAAATGTTACAATACAGACACGGAGGTCCTTGCTCACAGAGCTTACAGTCTAATATGAACAACACAACACAGAGAAGGAGGTCATTGCTCACAGAACTTACACTCTAATATGAATGGTACAATACATAGAAGGAAATCACTGCTCACAGAGCCTACAGTCTAATATGAACAGTGCAATGCAGAAAGGAAGTCCTTGCTCACAGAGCTTACACTCAAATATGAATGATACAATACAGAGAAAGAGGCCCTGTTTAAAGATCTTGCACTGTAACATAAACAGTACAATACAGAGAAAGAGGTCTCTGGTCACAGAGCTTACACTCTAATATGAATGGTACAATGCAAATAAGGTGGTCCCTTTTCACAGAGCTTACACTCTAATATTATTGGAAAACATCATTGGAAATGCAGAAGCCTCTGGTCACAGAATGTACAGTCTAATATGAATAGCATAATACAGAGAATGAGGTCCCTGCTCACCGAGCTTACATTCTAATATTTTTGGAAAATACTGAGAGCAGAAGGAGATTCCTGCTCACAGAGCTTACACTCTAATATAAATGTTACAATACAGACACGGAGGTCCTTGCTCACAGAGCTTACAGTCTAATATGAACAACACAACACAGAGAAGGAGGTCATTGCTCACAGAACTTACACTCTAATATGAATGGTACAATACATAGAAGGAAATCACTGCTCACAGAGCCTACAGTCTAATATGAACAGTGCAATGCAGAAAGGAAGTCCTTGCTCACAGAGCTTACACTCA